ACAAGGATGCTACGAGGTACGAAGGCGATGCTTGCCGTATTCCGACAGAAAGATGCCCCTCTCATGACATGATCCTGCTTCTTTTCACGTTTGATCCCTAAACCCTAAACCCTAAACTCAGTAAGCCGTACAGTTCAGTACGGCTGACGTCACTCTCTGGGAAAGGGGTGGTTTGGCCTTTTGCATCCAGGTGCTACGAAGTCTAGCCGGGGAGTTGCAAGTAAGGCAGCCTGCTTTTGCGGATGCCACCGTCTCCGGATTTGATGGGTGCGTGGGGGTGAGAGTGTCCGATTTAGGGATATATGGGACTTAAGGCTTCCGGAAAGGTGGTGTCCGTCTGACAATCGACTTTGAAGGTGTTGACCCCCGACGAGGAGGAGGACAACGGCTTCAACAAAGGAGTCCTCAGCAGCCCCAGCCCCAGAACGAAAACAAAAAAGAGCAGGAGCTGGGGCTTTCATAGGCTCTTCTTGGTGTTTGAGTGTTTCGGGGCCATGGGGGTTTTAAACCCTAAACTGGGTTCCGAGACTCCAAACATCTCCGAACTCTTAAGACGGTCGCCTCGTTGTGTCGACGATTTCAGGGGTAAGGCCCCTGAGTCGGATGCGTCCTGGTTGCATGCCGGAGTCTGCCATCTTCCTAAAGCGCAGCCAAGGGGCTTATGTCTCACTCGAGGTCATGAGAATGGGATTCCTGAACCCTTAAGCCCCCCAACCGCCCTTACTTTACGGGTTCATGCGTCAGCGGCCCTTCATCGGCCCAACGAATGATTGCCGGGATCTTCACAGTTTTGCCGCTTCGGCTCGAGGCTTGGGGTTTCCGCTTCTTCTCTTCCGAAACTGGCAACATGCTGCGCATCTGGATGCTCTCAGGAGCCATGGTGACGAGCATACCTACGGAGGAGCTGGAGGAGCTTAGCGACCTGAGGGGTCTGAAGCAGCTTTTGAATCAGTCGCTCGGGCTAGCATCACGCTTCAGACAGAAGTTCCTCTTCGACGGCGAGAGTTTGGAGGAGACGGCCATGCTGCATGCATCCGTGGACCTGCACCTGGTGGTGGTGCCGTTCGCTGACGTTTCCCAATCACAGGTTGACGACCTGGTAGCTTCGGCTTGGCGGGGCTCCGCAGCCGAAGTTGAGTCTATGCTGCAATTGCCCGTGGATCCAGACTTGTCTGACAACGACGGGCGCACAGCTTTGATGATGGCATCTCGTGGCGGTCACGTCGACATCGTTTGCTTGCTGTTGGAGGCTGGTGCCAGCAAGGATGTGGCAGACACCGACGAGCGCACACCTTTGATGGCGTCATCCAGTTTAGGTCATGTCGAGATCGTCCGCTTGCTGCTAAAAGCCGGCGCCAGAAAGGATTTGGTAGACAAGGACGGCTGCACAGCTTTGATGAGTGCATGCAGGGAAGGACATGTGGATGTCGTCCATTGGCTGCTGGAGGCAGGTGCCAACCCGCATCTCGCAGACAACATCGGCCTCACAGCTTTGATAATTGCTTCCGGCACAGATTATGTCGAGATTATGAGCATGCAGGCCGGCGCCAACATTGATGTATCAGACGGTCACGGTCATGTCAAAATCCCCCGCTTGCTTTTCGAGGCCCTGCGCATTGCAGGTCACTACGATGGCCACACAGCTTTCAGGAAGGCATCTGCTGCACGTCACTCCGAGATCGTCCGCTTGCTGCTAAAAGCTGGCACCAAAAAGGATCTGGTTGACAAGAGCGGGTGCACAGCTTTGATGAGTGCATCTAGGGAAGGACATGTCGAAATCGTCCGCCTGTTGCTGGACGCCGGCGCCAACCCGGATCTCGCAGACAACATCGGCGGCACAGCTTTGATAGTTGCTTCCGATGCAGGCTATGTCGAGATTGTGAGCTTGCTGCTGCAGGCCGGCGCCAATTTGGATGTAGCCGACGACCGCGGGCAGACAGCTTTGATGTTGTCATCCGGCAGAGGTCATGTCAAGATCGCCCGCTTGCTGTTGGAGGCTGGTGCCAGCAAGCACATTGCAGACTACAGCGGCTACACAGCTTTCACGATGGCTGCTGCTGCGCATCACTGCGAGATCGTCCGCTTGTTGTTAAAAGCCGGCAGCAACACGGATACCGGAGACAACGTCGCCCGGAGGGCCTTGATGAGGGCCTCCAGTGCAGGTCATGTCGAGACTGCACGCCTGCGTACACAGCTTTGATGAGAGCTTTCGACCAAGGTCACGTCGGGATCATGACAAAGGGTTTGGGGCTAAGGGATCGTTCACCTCTTTGAATTAGAAGGGATATGGCAGGCAAGTATGGGTACATGAATGTGGTGAGAACATCCTGCAAGTTTGTAATTAACGCACTGTCCTCAGCATTCAGTGATAGTGTGGCGAAGTTGTGGTCTATGACACATTACTGACTCCCCAGACACCTTAAATCCCTAGAAGGTGTTTCGAGCTTGTACATTCAGGTTTTCGTACATGCCCCGGTAGCGATAGCAATGCGGTCACCGTCTGGCAAGGGCGCTGTTCATGGTGGTGTCTCTGGCTTTTGCTAGGCCCTTCTTGGTCTATGTTCTCTGACAAGCAGCAGCAAGCCGCAGAATCACATGCTGCGATCTCCACACCCCAAGCCGCGGAACCTCTTGATCTGCCAAGCCCAAACCTCGAGCCATGCACCCCCAAGGCCTTAAATTATTGTAACCTAAGCCCTAAACCCTCACCCCTAAACCCTAGTAGACAACTGAAAGCCCGGATCCCCAAAACCACAAACCCGCTCGCTGTCACACGTCGACCCTTCCTCCGGCATGAATAACTGATAATGCATGTCTGTGAATGCTTGAACCGTGGCCCGTCCGTTGCTTTTGCAACTTTGCTCCCGTCCTTGATCTATGGACACTGAAAGCTGCTTGGGCGTTGGCAGCGGCCATCAGCGGCCTAAGCTCTGTCCACCTGAATCCCAAACTGAGGCGTCGGCCCTTTCTATGCCTCCTGCCCCTGTGGCGTGGCGCCTCGAGGGACGAAGCAGCGTGCTGTTGTGGCCGGATGAGTTCAGACTTTGAATTTTCGAGGTTCGGGCTTCTCCCGCAAGAAGGTTCCGACTACATCGTAGGCTGTGGCATTTCCACAACTCAGGCGCAATCAGCACTGTTACAGTATGACGAACAGCAGGAATCACAGCAACACTTGGGCTGGCCTAAGTAGCTGCAGCCGCAGCAGTAGTAGCAATAGCCGTGACACCAGCAGTCACTGGCACTAGCCCCAGCATGAGCATCGGCACTAGACATTGTCGTCGTCGTACTAAGCAGCCCTTGAGGTGACATGAGTGGCATGGTAGCAGGAGGAGGAGCAGCGGCAGACGCAAAGGGAGCAGGAGGAGGAGGAGGCTGGGAGGCAGGATCAGGAGGAGTAGTAGTCGGAGGACGAGGAGACGGAGGAGGCGGCTTTCAGCACCCGCCATTGCAAGCATATTCGTTCGTTACGACGACGGCAGCCTCCGGAAACATGTTCCGAAGGAGCAGTAGCTACAAAAGACAGCAACAATAGCAATGTGTTGGTCATCAACCGAATCAGCTCCAAGCCCCAAATTATTAAAACCACGAACCCCAGGCTCGGAACTCGCCGGACGAAGACAGCGGGACAGATGTAAAACAAGCAGAAAGCCTGTGCAAGGCTTCATATCATAGACTCCACCCATCATTGCTCTTGCCCTTTACCTGCCTGAAGTGTTTCTGCAACTTTGTTTGAGGTTGGGATTTCTCCTTCTACCACATCTTGATCAAGCCAGTTTCTGCCCCCAGTGCTGGGGTTGTTCAGTTTCAGGGTCGTCTTTGACGTCGTCGTGGCAACCAAGCCAAGCCAGTTCTGAAGGGGTTTGATCAAGGAGGGCAGCAATGATTCTTGATCCCATTCCTTTCGTTTACAGCCCGTTCGGTTCTCGGTATGGGGCAGATCGTTAGTACCACCATCATCGTCATCAGATCATCAGCACGGCCTGAGCTAGCATCATGCCCATGCAATTTGCATGGGCACCGCCCCGGAGTCTTGGAAGTTCTTATCTTCTGATGTAGATGATGTAACAACGCATCCGAAATATTTCTGTGTTTCAGGAATCGTTTTGGACAATAGTACGGCAGAAGATCCGATTCCAGCGCAAATCGAAATCACTCGCATCTAGTAGGCTATAGATGCCTGACCCCCTGAATCCCAGATAACAGAAGCGTCATATGCGGGTATAGATGTTGTGCATCTGTATGTATGCACACATATCAATACCACTAGCAGCTAGCAGCAACATCGCGACTCGTCATCCGACCACTGCACAGCCCCAGGACTTCACCCAGATTCAACCGAGGATTCGACCTACTACATGGAAGTCATGTCTCTGCCCGAGAACTTCAAGTGTGAGCCCGAGCTTTGAGAGAAGGGGTCGCAAGGACTTGTGAAGGCCTCCTTAATCAGTTAGAGGTTGAAGGATGGTTTAGCGGTTGAGGGTCAGAAGCCCTCATCGGTTAGCCGTGATGATATCCAGTGCCCCCGAGGGATATGAGAGAATTGGGCTGTTGCGGGTATTGCACGTCGTAGTTATGGCAGTGGCAATGTTGTAGTAGTGGTACCGCTGCCATAGTGTTGCGCTACTGCTACCGCTGTTGCCACCACCACAACCGCTGCCATGTGCTAAACGTACGTAATGCAACTATGCCATGCTTTGCCTTTGCGATCAGTCTGCGCCATTGCCAGCTCAGAAGTACATGAGAACCGCAACATGCCTGTATAGAAACCCTATGAAGCCCCCATATATGTCGCAAGACTTTAAAAATGATGAGAGTCTTCGATGTGTGGAGTTATTCGGTTGCGAAGGAGATTGCTCAGATTTCTATTTCCCGTAATTACACCCAGACATCCCTCTCAGCTGTCAAGGGAACGGCACTGTAGTGTATTGCCTGGTCGCGGCTCAATTACTCCAGCTCTCAAGCTAAAGACACCAACCTAAACCCAACAGCCCGCAGCGGAGTCGAAGCTGAGGCTCCGGTATTGGAATCCCAGGCCGGAGGCTGCGAGGGCCTTGGGGCCCGTGCTGCCATGTTTTGGTCTTTGGTGCAGATGGCGAAAGATGTTTTGAAGTTCATACTATGTCTGGTAGTAGTGGCAGGTGCCAAGCATGTCAAACACCAGACAAGTCTTTACTCTTTACGTGTGAGTTCAATCTGACGCCCATAAAACGATCGCCGCCCAGTCTGTGCTGTTGGAGATCTTCTACCCAGACTCTCGCGGCGTGAACGTCTTCGTAGGACAGGGATGGGATGTTGCGAAGAAGAGCCCGACCGGAAACCCAAATTCGGGGCTAAACCCAAAGCACCTGCTCCCCACAGCCAGCGGCAAACATAACTCTGATGGCCCGATGGGGTCTCGGATCCCTCATGTCCGCAGCAGCCCTAGCACTGATGCAGAACACCCCATGGTGCAGTGAGGCATCCCGAACCCCTAAACCTCTAAACCCCAGATCCTGAAGGCCCAGGAAGCAGCCGACCTTATGCGTCCTCGGATCGCAAGAGCCCATGCCGGCCAGGAAGGGGTCCCGCCTCCCCGAGCTCCCCACTACGAAACCCCCGAGCATCCCCACCGCGAAGCCCAGTAGGTCAACTGATCCCATCGCTTTTGGGTTTCGGGGTGTGGGACTTCCAGACGGCCCACAAGTGTTGAACCTTGCACCCCACCCTCTCAACCTAAAATCCTCACTAGACCCGAGCTCCTCTGAACCCCAAAGCCTTATAACCAGCCCTCAACATCCTTGCGGCCCGCAGCCCTTGAAGCGCCTCTGCCGAAAGGAGGGTCCAAGAAGCCTGACATGGCATTGAAGTTGGCTTGGGCCCCCGGAACCTTAGGGTTGGGGATTAGAGTTCCAGGTTCAATCACTCAGGCATGCGATTTTTTTGGACCCGCAGCTGCAGCAACCTTTGCAAGGTCTGTGGACGAAGAGGTGCATGAGAGGGGTTTAGGCCTATTACTCTTAACTTGGAAGGTGCTGGGTGCGGGGTAGGGCTTCAGAGTTTCTGGGTCTTTGTTCTTTTTCGTGCATTCTCGCATCAGCCTTGTGCTTTCTTTGCTGTAACTTGGTCTGGGATGTGACAGCTTCGAAGAATTCATCGGCCCAAGAAAGGAGTGCAGGCAAGTAACAGCTGGTTGGCGACGGTAAGTGAAAGCTGCTCCGACATCCGGTGCCTTTTCGAAAACCCTTAGAGAGCTCGCAAGCTGAGGGGCGAAAGCCCACGCTGGAGGATGAGCAGCACCGGCTTGCCTTACAAAGGGGCCTTATAATAATTACCTATTTTATTTTGGTGGTTTTCTTATTCTAGTTATATAGTAGAATGGGCCCCACTTGAAGGGAGTGGAGCAAGAAGCGATTAGGTTGTCTTTGGGTATTCCCTCGGAGCTGCCTCGGCTCCCTGTCTTAGATCAGAGACCCCGAGGCTTCACACAGGAAGCCGCCCACGCTAGGGTTGACTCAGAGTACCGGTGTGCGTGTGGGCACTTTAAGGTTTGAGGTTTAGGGTTTCGGGTTTAAGGTTTAGGGTTTAGGGATGCAGGCTTTTGTAGGTCCTCCGATCATCCTGCCAGGCACGGCGCCCATGTGGTCGATGCTCAAGCACTACGCCCGAAGCCAAGTAAACAGCATTGTTTCCGTGACAGCCATGGCAGGACGACACCAATTATACAATTGCGCGATAGGCCTCAAGAAAGATATTCACGCTAGTTCCATGAAGACACAAAAACAAGCACTCAAAGCTGCTAAGCCTGCTGCACAAGAACCATTTTAGTCTGCTGGTCCGGTTTGTAAGTTGTGCGTTGAACCCTTGGGGTTTAACGATGTTGGTCCAAAAATGTGGTTGTTGATCCCTTACCCGCCGAAGCCGGTATTTGGGTTTCCCTGAAGTTTCTTATTCTCGGTGTTTGCGATGATACGGACCCAAAGAGGGACCCACTCGGAACACGCACCCCCAGGTCTTTACGTGACCATGCGAGGGTCACCCGAAGGCTTCGCAGTCCTGGCCTTGGCATGCTGCTCACCACCCAGGACTTTAAACCGCAAGCCCTGAACCTTCAACTCTAAACCTTAAGCCCTAAACCCTGAAGCCTAAACCATAAACCCTAAACCCTGAACCTTCAACTCCCGATCAGACCCTAGGCTCCGAACCCCAGGCCCGGAAGGATCTCGTCATCCGGCGCACACCCACGGTGAAGCTGAAGATGAACATCGAGCCGCTGCCTGATGCTTTGGGCCTTTCAGGTGGAATCGAGATACCGGTGACAGCCCCCCTATGAATTGAAGATGATATTCAAGTGCAAGGTATCTTAAGCATTATGTAGTCTTCGCCTATGCTAGGGTGTGGACTCCTGATGGCCGAAGCTCCTAAGCCTAAGCGCTCAAGATGGTTGTGGGATACTTCTTCATTGTCGGACCCCCTTCCCCAAGCTGTTTACCTTGGGTGTGTGCAGACTGCCCGACACGAAGCTGAAGACTGGCATGGAGTATAGGGTTTTCATCTAACGCCTGGTGCCCACAACACACCCTGAAGCAGTGAAGATAGTACAGGATTTGGGCATCCAGTCTTTTTCTTGAAAAAAAATGCCATAGTAGTCAAAGTTGTCGGTACGCTTGATTGAGCGCTTCTCGTTCAATTCTAGCGGCATCGCAGACGCTCTGAGTTCCAGGATCAGTATCGTCGAGTTCAATGGGCCACAGTTCCAGACGAACTTGGCTATTCTGCTTGGAATTCCACCCGAGCGTATTTCTGCCCGGACCCTACAGCTTGGCTGCATGATGATGGTGTACTCTTAGCATAATATAGCTGTTCAGATGGTTAAGCTCGCATTTCCACTGCGGTGTTGTTGCAAGTGTTCCCCATGCGAGCTTCTGAGGCTCCCATGGTCACATGAGCAGTGCCCGAATGCTATAGCAACTACGAAGCCATGACATGTATCACTTCTTCGTGACATGACTTTCAGCCCACTTGCCCTGACATGACATTGTTTCAAGACTGTAACCCTTGGACAGGTCGCCAGTAGCAGAGAACAGAAGCCAGAAGCGCCGGACTCCAATCTCTCGAGGTGGCATCTGTTGCAGCCCGGCGTCGGCTGAAGCCCATGGCCTAGAGAAGTCATTCCGAGCTTCTCTTGCGGGGAATGTGTAGCAATGGTCGATTGCGCCAGGAGCTGCTGAGCTGTCAAGTTTGAGGTGCCGAGTTGCAGGATGTTACAGGATTCCGGGTTGAGGGGCTAGAGAGCTTTAAGCCCTCAATCCCTACAGGAACGGCCGAATTAAAGCTTCTTCCAGGCTGGTGCAGACCACTGCGGACGACTCTGACGCGTGAGGGCACCCGGTCGCCAGAGCCATGCAGGATTTGGGGATGAGATCGAGGAAGAGTGGCTTTATAGGGCCAAGCATGCCGGGTGCCCATGCATGTGGACAGCAGCGGGCTTGATTTGCCACCGTCTTTGTAGTTTCCTATATAAGGTACCCGGGCTGTTGTGGGCAACTAAAATAACTAAAGCCGACGACGTCCTGAAAAGCTTCCCAACTTTTGGCTTCTTTCCGGCTGCCACGAGGTCAGTGTGCACGGCGGAGGGGATCTGCAAGACGCCAGGCGCAGTCACCCAGCGACTCGAAGCTAGCAGACAGACAGTCGCCGAAGTTCCGGATCATTGGCCCAGCCCTTCACATCACAAAAGCCCAGAAAGGGAAGTTTGGTCGGCTCTAGGTAAGCTGCAATCACTCTGAGCAGTCGCAACTAGCCGTGCTCGCCAAAGAGAAGCACGAGATGGTCGAAGCGCCTGACTTCCTGAAACCCTAGCCATATGCCTGCTACAACATTCCTTTGGACAGGTCGGGCCCCGAAAGCCCCTACACCCCGAACCCACACACCGCAGAGCAAAAGCCTCAAAAGCCCTCATGGACTCGGCGTCGCAACAGGCCGACGTCTTGCCGCCGTGGACCTCACGGACTTGGACATCTCCATCGAACCTTCCAAGGATGCTGCAGAAGCCTCAAAATGACGCTGTAAATCATCTTATGTTGTTTGTTATAGTACAGCCCAGAATTACTTATGATCTATTACAAGTTCAGATCTCATCGGGCCTTTGCTCTCTAACCGTGGGTTTGACGCGGCACCAAGGGCACCTAAACCTTAGAAAAAGGATCCCGGACTGAGCACTTTGCTTTTGCGCCCAGGCCGCAGCAGCTTCTGGAGGAGACGCAGAGAGCCAAGGCTCGAGCAGAGCCCATGCTCTTGGGTTTACTATAAGGGCCCTTAAGCCTGAGGAGTTAGAAGAGGGTTTCGGTGTATAATTTAGTATCATGGTAAAAAAATTTGCGGGACTATAAGCGATTTTAGGCTTCGGGCTTATAGAGTTTAGGGTGAAGGCAGAGACGAACATGTAGTTCTTTCGGGTTTACTACATACCCATTAATGCCAATGCTCATGCACTCGGTGCACATGCACTCTGCATTCGCACCTAAGATATAAGAATTTGTGCACGCATGCTGTTTGGACAAATGGCGGGGCACTGGAAGTGGTGAACGGTGAACTATTATAGCTGTAGTCAAACCGGCCTCGAACAGTTGCGACCATGCTTCAAGCAGGCCGTTCCTGCACCGAAGCTCTTTGAAGCACCACCAAAGCCTTCGCCATGACATCGAAGGCGCAGAGGCGTTGAATGCCCAGGCGGGAGAGCTTGGCGAGGCGCGGCGAGCACAGCCTCTGCCTTCGGGGCGGGGGGTAAGGCTTTAGGGATATTAATTAAGGTGGCCGCGGAAATGACGAGTCAGGACCTCCACTAGAAATATGACTGTCACGAGATGTTGGCAGGGCAAGTCTTACAAGGCTCCCTTCCGTCGTCAGCTTCTTGAAGAGCCGGGATTGGGAGCAGACCTTAGACTTTCAAACCTACGGAGCGCCTTCAGGAACAACACTTCTTAGCTCTAGTCCCTCTACAGTAGCCTTGCAGTAGTGTAACAGTGTTCTTGGAAGTATCAAGGCCCCTAGGTCAAGCCCTATGAAACCCTCCTAAAGCCCGATAAGACCCATACCCAACCCTCTTAAGCCCCATGAAGCCCCCCAACACCGATGAAACCCAATGAACAAGCCTTCAAACCCTGTTCTGAACCCCAATCCGCCCCAGAAGCCCTAAACCCTGGACCCTAGGCCCTAATCCCCTAAACCCTGAGCTCTTTCCAACATCCCCAGGTCTCTTCGAATCTCCAGTCGTTGGCCTCGGGCTCCGAGCTGGCAGCTGCAGCCGGCGGCGAGGCCAAACGTCAGAGAGCCTCTGTGGCTTTTTGGGGTTCCATGGGGGCACTCCTCTCGGGTTCTATGAGGGGTATTGAGTTGTCGGGATTCTATGAGGGCACGTTCGATTATAGCTTAAGGTGTTAAGGGCTTTTTCAGTGTAACAGAGGGGCTTCAGTTGGGATGTAAGGCTGTTAAGGGAGCGGTTAGGGCTTAGGCTGGAGAGGAGTTCAGCCATGTTTGAGATCTTGGGCAAGCCCGCTGCGGTTTGGTGCTTGATCCTTGATTTTTTTGAGACTGGAAGTCCGCAAAACCCGAAGCCTTGTCCACTCAGTCGCTGTGAGAATCATACAAGAATACAAGAGGTTGCAGTTGCTGGTTTTTATATTATATGATATTTTTTATATTATATCTGCCTCTGGCTTTCCTCAATGGTAAACTGGCGCCTTCGCCTCCGCCGCGGTGTTGACTGGGTGGCCTCAGAAAAGCACGCGGTACGAGACGTGCAGTCATTCTGAAAGGCCTAGCCATGAACCAACCCCCTTGACCTCCATTTCAAAATAAGGTGATGTCGGCCAGGGGAATTTGAATATGCAAAAGCCTTTGCAGAAGAATTGAAACCTGACACTCTCAGCAGTCCTATTAACCACCTCTCCCTACAAGCATCCAAACCCGAAACCCCTGATCCCTAGACTTCAATTCTCACCCACCCTAAACCCTAAACCCTTTATACACCCTAAACCCTAGACCCTAAACCCCTAAACCCTAAACCCTTCTGCGGAGCTTTGTAGGTCACTGTGAGCGACCTCGAAGTTCCTGAGATTCCCGACGAGGCAAAGGGAAAGTCGTAGTCGGTCCTGACCTGAATAGCGGGAGGGCCCGGCCGAGTACTGTTGACAGAGGGCAGGAAGAGTAGGGTTTAGGGTTTTGGGGTTTAGGGTTTTGGGGTTTAGAGTTTTGGGTTTTGGGGTGTAGGAGGGCAGCATTGCGCTGCAGCAAGTGGCAACATGCACAGAGCTGGGCATATGCAGATCAAGGGAATATCAATGCAGAGTGAGTGTGCATGTATGTATGTACCTGAAACAGACAATACGTAGATCGGACTACATCACAGCACCATACATATGTAACTAAAACTAGTCTATCCACAGCTTCCTAGACCATCGACAGAACTGTCGTAATAATGGTAATTCCACAGGGTGCAGCACTAGTAACAAACCTGGAATACCACCAACGAACAGTTCCGCCGCCCACCGACTGACAACACTGACCAATACAGCTCTTCATGCTGAGAATGAACTCGCATCGCCGAGCATATTCGCCATCGCCATCATGTCCAACATATCCAGGTAACGTCTCCAACATCGTACATAGCCATCACAATCTTCACCTGCCTTCCCCGCCGAGCATTGACACCTTCATCATCGCCATTGCCATCACCGTCATCACCATCACCCTCAGTATCAGCATCGGCATCAGCAGTCAACATTATCATCTTCGTCGTCATCGTCATCGTGATCACTGTCATTCCGAATGCCTTCGTGCTGCATGCACCCTGCAGCATTGTAAGCTGAACAGCCAAAGCACCAGGCCAACAACGAGGAGGTGCCCAGCGCTGATGAAGTCGCCGAAGTCGAGGCAACCAGAAGGGATTCCGCGACGTTACAAAACCTGGAAAGACACTTTCTACCCCAAGGAGGATGATAGAATCGACAGAGTTGGACTGGTTTGGAATGAAGCTTCCTGCAAGCCAGCTCTTGTTGCAAACAGGCGGACAATCAGCTTCTGCATGACACGTTTCCGCCCGCCCGCCCCGCCTCCCTCCCCCCGTTGCCACCTTCGCGGCATGGGACTGGCATGTTCGCAATGATCACTTATTGTGAAGATTCCTAAGAAATCGAGTTTGGCATCTTACATCGTCCGACGCTGAGAATCCTCGCCTCGTTCGCTGTCTTGGCAATGATGTGGGCAAGAGCCGCAAGAGCCACCAGCAGCTGATGTTCATTTTCGGCTGCAGATGCAGGACGAATGTGCTGCGGCTCCACGCTTCCATAGTAGCACTATGGTAGCTGCCAGATCGATGTTCTAGACATGCCTTGTTCAGATCGTGGATGTCACCGCCACGGCTGCCTCGTCTGCCGCTGCAGAGGTTTCAGCCGAGGCCGATGCCGGTAGTCGACTTGCGGTGTTTTCAGGCTATTTCAACAGCATTTCGGGATGCTGGGGCCCTGCTACTCGGAGCTTTGAGCGAGCTTGCGGCTGCCTGCCACCTCCCAACATGCTGTAGGAACGTTGTACTTGGTGCGCCCATCCTGGAGCACCACGCATTTGCAGATCGCTATTGTATCGGTCACACAGGCACAAGTGTACGGCGAAATGGCGGACATGAGCACGCTTCTGAATGGCAGCTCTTTATCCAAAGTTTTAGGCTGGTTGCTCCGCGGCCTTCGGCATTGCAGCAGTTGCCCGAGAGGGTTCCACAACACCGCGGTTATCCATTTCGAGTTGCAGCTTAGGAGCTGCCAATGGCTCACGTCCTTAGGCTCCAACATGCGTGCTTGACTGCCTTCAAGGTCACTGTTGGGCTCACCAGCGGCATTGCCTACACTCAGGCCATTGGTGTTGTTTCGCATCTTCCAAGTTCGAAGAAAGCGCGCATCTGGTTTGCCTCATGCCGCTTGTCCCTAAACCCTCAACCCTGAATCCATCTCAGGGTGCCGCATTTCGTCTAGGCAGATCTGGAGCACGAGGGAACTTCCACGGCGTCAAGGGCCCAGCCGTCAAGCTGTTGAGCGGATGATTGACACGTTTGGCTCTCTGGGGGCTTGAAGCTGTGATGGGCCTTGTGCAGCTCATGGCCGCAAGCTCTCCCAGGATGTGCAGCAGCATCAACGCGGGCTACTCTGGCGATATTGCACTTTCGTGCTGAGCTGAGAAGATCTACCATAGGCTTTGTCCATCCTTATCCAAGATGCATGAGTCAAGCTGCAAACTCGAACTCGTACAGGTGGATCACTACAGCCGGTATTGCCGTCGCTCCTACTACTGAGCTTCCACTCCTCCAGCGACGACGATGACAATCACCACCACCGCCACCACCAGCAGCACTGACACCAGCACCGCCGCCGCCGCCCCCACCACCATCAAACGGCGCTGGTTTGGTGTTGCACTGGTTGCTTTAGGCCTTTGGCTCTTGTTGTTTTGGGGGTGCTTGTGTAGTGCTTGATTCTTGTTGTCCTGCTTGTACGCCACAGCCGGCGTCAGGTGCAACGCCGGCATCCTGAAGGGCAACGTGGCGGCTTGCCAGCCGCACACCTGCAAGTGGTGTTCAGATGAAAGGAAGTTGCACAGACTGCCATAGTTAGGAAATTTCCGTGCCCGAAGTCATCCAGCATTGCCGTCGTAAGGTAGCAGATCCGGAAGGAAGGGAGTTGGGCTCAAAGGACGAAAGAGTTTAAGGTTACTACCAAGAAAGAAGGGCCCAGAAAGGAACCCAAACCCCTGGACCGCAAAATCCCAGAGAAGCCCCGAAAGCCTTAATGACCCCTAAAACCATCCTAAAACCCCAAAGCCCATTAAACTCTGACCCGAACTCTCCCCAAAACAAAAACACGAAGAGACGGCCAGCCCAGGCCCGTGGGCTGCGCCGATCCCGTGGACGTGACGGCCGGGCATGGAATGAATGCCTTGGGCTATAGGGAGTTCATGGGACTTCATTTCAGGCTTTGGAGTTTGGGGTTTTACGAGGATGTAGGGCAGTTCAAGGCGATGGGGTGTAGGAAGGCTTCGGGCTTCCCAACTTCGTTCGGGTCTCCAAACGCCTTTCCATCGCAGGTGGGAACAGCTACGGCGTCTGTGAGCCCACCAGCCAACATGGCCTCCGGCATTGTCTCCTCAGTGGCCGGTGCCTCAGCGCCTGGGAAAGCTGCGAACCGGATCCAGGCGGCTCATGGTAGGCCCTTCCCCGTCCTTCGGATCTTGTCTTCACAACAGCGGTTGTTGCAGTGACTCTGTAGATTCTGCAGAGACCCTAGGGTTCACTGGCAAAAATGAATGAGCACTCTGAAGTGTGAGAGTGATGTAGGCATACCAGTAGTAGCACTAGCAGCGCGAAGAGCACATATGGTAACACTAATGATCATCATTGCCCTTCTCTCTCAGCCTCGAACCATGGTCGCTTGAGGAGTGCAGCACCGTGAACTCCTCGTACACCGGCAACTTCGAGCTGAGCTGCTCTATGGGAACTCTCTCCTACGATGTCTCGTGGGGGACCCTGCTAGTGCAGGATCTTCGTAAGACCGGGGGTGGAAGCTGCAGTTTAGTTCAGGAGTGTAGCAGTAGTAGAGGAAAAAAAAGTAGTCGGTGGTAGTAGTAGTAGTAGTA